TTTCTGTATGCTGGTTTGTGTGTTCTCCAACACAACTCTCACAACACTTCTCTGAACGCACTCGCTCTCCCAACGGGGAGCTTACCTAACCAGGGGGTTTCCAGCCTGGTGTTGAACAGGAGTGACAGGATTCCTTTGGGATGGGGGCAGTGAGGAGGGTACCCGAAACACTGGGACTGGCCTACCCCACATTGCCTGGAAGAGCCCTTTTCTCCAAATAATATTTGTTTTTCTTTCTTTCTTTTCCTTCCTTCCTTTTTCCCCTTCCTCAATTCCTCTCCTGCTTCTTTTCCCAGTTCTTTCTTTCTTTTCCTTCCTTCTTCCCCCATCCTATATTCCTCTCTCCTCCCTCTTTTCCCCGATCTTTCTTTCTTTCTTTCTTTCTTTCTTTCTTCCTCTTTCTTTCTTTCTTTCTTTTGCTTCCTTCTTCCCCATCCTATATTCCTCTCTCCTCCCTCTTTTCCCGATTTTTCTTTCTTTCTTTCTTTTTCTTTCTTTCTTTCTTCCTCTTTCTTTCTTTCTTTCTTTCTTTCTTTCTTTCTTTCTTTCTTTCTTTCTTTCTTTCTTTCTTTCTTTTGCTTCCTTCTTCCCCATCCTATATTCCTCTCTCCTACCTCTTTTCCCAGATTTCTTTCTTTTGCTTTCTTCCTCTTCTTCTTCCTTAATTCCTCTCTTCTCCCTTTTCCCAGATTTTTTCTTTCTTTCTTTTCTTTCTCTTCTTCCCGTCTTAATTCCTCTCTCCTACCTCTTTTCCCAGATTTTTTTTCTCTTTCTTTCTTTCTTTCTTTCTTTCTTTCTTTCTTTTTTCTTTCTTTCTTTCTTCTTTCTTTCTCTTTCTTTCTTTCTTTCTTTCTTTTGCTTCCTTCCTCTTCTTCCCCTTCCTTAATTCCCGTCTTCTCCCTCTTTTCCCATTTCGTTCTTTTTCTTTCTGCCCCTTCTTCCCTTCCCTTATGTCTATTTTCTTTCTATGCATCTACCCACCTACCCTCTATCATCCATCCATCAACTATCCACTATCCACCCACCCACCTGTGCATTATATCATCTACCGATGTCTGTTTGTGGAAGTGGTTTGCTATCCAATTTTGTTTCAATGTACTTTTTGAATGAATCATCAGAAACTAAACTGAAGCAAGCTTGGAGAACAAACCACTGCCAAAATCTAAAACCCGGGCTACAAATATTTTCTATTATGTCTGTTTGCTTCTATTTCCTTGTATCTCTGCACCTGCCTGCCTGTCTAATGTCAAATCTGTCTCACAGAAAGAGAGCCTGGGAGGCATACAAGCCACCCAATAAAACAATAAGGCCTTCGTTTATTTATCCTTCAAGGCCTCAATGCTCTCTCAGAGAAAAGCTGGCTTCAATCCGCCAGAACTTGGTGGAGAGTGTCAGTGTATAAGGGTT